TCCTAGTTATGTTACCGAGGTAAGTTTGTGAATATCCGAACGTCTTGCCTGAGGATCTCACTAGGTTGCCACCTTACTGTGAGAATGAATTCTCTATTGATTTAGTGCCTGGCATGGAACCGATTTCTATGGCACAGTATAGATTTGCACCCGTCGACTTGAGTGAGTTGAAGATTCAACTCTAACAATTGTTAGATAAGGGTTTTATCTGCCCTAGTACATTGCCTTAGGGAGCACCGGCTCTCTTTGCTAAGGAGAAAGATGGCACGTTGCGACTTTGTATTGATTACCGAAAGTTGAATCGAGTAACTGTTAAGAACAAGCCTCGTATAGATAATTTGTTTGACAAGTTGAAGGGCTCTTGTTACTTTTCTAAGATAGACTTGAGATTGGGTTACCACCAATTGAGAATGAAGGAGAAGGATATCTAGAAAACAGCATTCCGTACGCGGTATGACTATCACGAATTCCTGGTGATGCCTTTTGGGTTAACCAACGCACCAGCCTTGTTTATGGATTTGATGAATCAGATCTTTCGCGAGTTCCTAGATCATTTTGTGCTTGTCTTAGTTGATGACATTTTGATTTACTCACCCTCTAAGGAGGAGCACGAGAAACACTTGCGAGTTGTACTTGAGTTGCTTAGAGCCTACAAATTGTATGCTAAGTTCGGGAATTGTGAATTCTAGTTGAAAGAAGTGAAGTTCTTAGGCCATGTGGTGTTCGGAGAATGAGTGACTGTAGGCGCTTCTAAGATAGAAGCAGTGCAAGATTGGGAACAATCTAAGAATGCATTTGAGATTCGTAGTTTCTTGGGATTGGCCGGGTATTACTGTCGGTTTGTGAAGGATTTCTCTAGATTAGCCTCACCGTTGACTAGACTGACGAGGAATGGAATTAAGTTTGTGTGGAGTGACACTTGTGAGAAGTCGTTCCAAGAACTTAAGGTTAGACTTACCACCGCTCCAGTGTTTTGATCATTCCAGAGATGGGTTTGGGCTATTAAGTGTATTGTGGTGCATCTCAGGAAGGTTTGGGTTGTGTCTTGATATAGGAAGAGAAGGTAGTAGCATATGTCCTACGTCAGTTGAAAACACGCGAGAGGAACTATCCTACTCATGACTTAGAGCTAGCAGGGGTGATCTTCGCCTTAAAGATTTGGAGGCATTACTTGTATGATGAGAGGTTTGAGGTATTTTTCGATCACAAGAATTTGAAGTATCTGTTTTCACAAAAAGATCTGAATTTGAGACAAAGGAGGTGGATGGAATTTATGGAGGATTATGATTTTGAATTGCATTATCATCCGGGGAAAGCCAATGTAGAGGTTGATGCCTTGAGTAGAAAGACCATTAGTTGTATAGTGAGTATTGCCATCTGGGAATAGGAGAAATTGGGTGATATTGGTGAGTTCGACTTGTATCTTGGTGAGTTCGTTGAGTCGACTACCTTGTTTACTGTAGTTGCACAACCTACACTTGTGAGTTATGTTATAGAAGCACAACAAGGTGATCATGAGGTAGAAACCCTCCGGGAGAAGATATCTAGTGGGAAAGTAGAGAATGGCTTCAACGTGTATTTTGACTCGAGTGTTAGATACCTTGACTGTGTTTTTGTACCGGAGTCTTGTTGAGACGAGGTACTCCGAGAGTTTCACTATTCACATCTTGCGGTACATTCGGGAGGCACAAAGATGTATCATGACCTTAGCTGCTAGTTTTAGTGGAAGGGGATAAAGAAGGATATAGCCGTGTTTGTATCGAGATGCCTTACTTGTCAACAAGTGAAAGCTGAGCATCAAAGGCCAGCGAGTTTGTTGCAACCCTTGCCTATAGCCGAGTGGAAGTGGGAGCATGTCACGATGGATTTTGTTGTGGCTCTTCCAAGGACTCAACGGGGTAATGATGTCATTTGGGTAATAGTTGATCGATTGGCTAAGTCGACATACTTTGTACCTATGCACACACGTGACTCGGTAGATTTTTTTGCCGACCTTTACGTTAGGGACATTGTTCGACTACATGGGCTCCCTGGGCTCAAGTATGTGTGTGAGATAGTGGCCCACTCAATGGCAAAACGGTAATTAAGTCCAACTCTTCAATTGGCTTATTTTAATCTAATTTAATCACACCTAATCAGTTTTCCGATAATTATACCATAAAATCATATTAATTATGAGGGTCACGGAACATCAATCGGTTTCTAGTTCGGCCGCCGATAAGGCCTTCAATTAGCAGTTTAAACATATAAGCATGAACAGATAATCAGACAATCAAACAGATAGAATGCAATTAACTAACATATACTCAGTCAATTCAGTTTCAATTTCAGTCAGTCGGTTCAGTATTTCATTCAGTTCGATTATCAGTTAGTTATCAGTCATTATCAGTTTCGTTTAACAGTAATCGGTGATTAACGGTAATCAATCGGTCATAAATCAGTAAACAGTACGAGGGTTGTTACAGGCTATTAAGTGTATTGTGGTGCATCTTAGGAAGGTTTGGGTTGTGTCTTGATATAGGAAGGGAATGTAGTAGCATATGTCCTACGTCAGTTGAAAACACGCGAGAGAAACTATCCTACTCATGACTTAGAGCTAGCAGTGGTGATCTTCGCCTTAAAGATTTGGAGGCATTACTTGTATAATGAGAGGTTTGAGGTATTTTCCGATCACAAGAGTTTGAAGTATCTGTTTTCACAAAAAGATTTGAATTTGAGACAAAGGAGGTGGATGGAATTTATGGAGGATTATGATTTTGAATTGCATTATCATCCGGGGAAAGCCAATGTAGAGGCTGATGCCTTGTGTAGAAAGACCATTAGCTGTATAGTGAGTATTGCCATCTGGGAATAGGAGATATTGGGTGATATTGGTGAGTTCGACTTGCATCTTGGTGAGTTCGTTGAGTCGACTACCTTGTTTACTGTAGTTGCACAACCTACACTTATGAGTTATGTTATAGAAGCACAACAAGGTGATCATGAGGTAGAAACCCTCCGGGAGAAGATATCTAGTGGGAAGGTAGAGAATGGCTTCAACGTGTATTCTGACTCGAGTGTTAGATACCTTGACCGTCTTTTTGTACCGGAGTCTTGTTGAGACGAGGTACTCCGAGAGTTTCACTATTCACACCTTGCGGTACATTCGGGAGGCACAAAGATGTATCATGACCTTAGCCGCCAGTTTTAGTGGAAGGGGATAAAGAAGGATATAGCTGTGTTTGTATCGAGATGCCTTACTTGTCAACGAGTGAAGGCTAAGCATCAAAGGCCAGCGAGTTTGTTGCAACCCTTGCCTATAGCCGAGTGGAAGTGGGAGCATGTCACAATGGATTTTGTTGTGGCCCTTTAGAGGACTCAACGGGGTAATGATGTCATTTGGGTAATAGTTGATCGATTGGCTAAGTCGACATACTTTGTACCTATGCACACAAGTGACTCGGTAGATTTTTTTGCCGACCTTTACGTTAGGGACATTGTTCGACTACATGGGCTCCCTGGGACTATTGTTTCGGATAGAGATCCGCACTTTATGACTCGGTTGTGGCAGAGCCTACAGAATACTTTGGGCACTAGACTGACTTTTAGTATCGCTTATCATCCTCAGACTGACGAGCAGTCAAAGCGTACCATTCAGATCCTTGAGGATATGTTTCGCGGTTGTGTTCTTGACTTTAAGAGGTCATGGGAGAGGCACTTACCATTTCTCTTGATAGAGAATTGAAAAGCTTGTGTCAAGTGGAGTTCTTGGTCCTCTTAATTTTACAAATTTTAAAATTTGTAATGAGTGTATAAAGAAGAAGCAAACAAACATAAGGAAGTTAGGTACTAACAAGAGTTCAAACGTCTTAAAAGTGATTTATATTGATATTTGAGATCCATTCCATACGGTTTCTTGGAATGGTCAACAGTATTTTATCACATTCATAGATCATTGTTCTTATTATGGGTATCTATACTTAATACATAAAAAATCACAAGTACTAGATGTATTCAAGGCATTTAAAATTGATGTTGAAAATCAAATTGGTAAGAAAATTAAAGACGTTATATTTGATCATGGTGGTGAATACTATGGTAGATCTGATGGATTAGGTGAATAACGTCCAGGGTATTTGCGAGATACTTATAGGAATATGGCATCGTTCCTCCGTACAACATATCTAGGACCCTGTGTCAAAATGGTGTAGCCGAGAAGCAAAATTGGATCCTAAAAGATATGGTTAGAAGTATGATAAATCATTCTTCTTTGACAGAGTTTCTTTTGGGAAGAGGCCTTAAAGATTGCAGTTTACATTCTTATCCGAGCATATAGTAAGGCAGTAGTTAAAACCAATATGGATTATAGACTGGAAAGAGACCTAATATTAGGTGTTTTCATGTCTGGGGTTGTCTAACTAAAGTTCAGCTTTATGAGCCAAATTAAAGAAAATGGACTCAAGAACTATAGTTGCTTGGATACTTGGAAAAGGTTAAGGGGTTTTAAGTTTTATTGCCCATTCAGTAATACCATTATTCAGATGAATAATGTCTAAATTATTGAGAATGCTAAAAAGTAGTGGGAGTTTACAATCCAATAATATTTTGTTTGAAGAGGAAAGTATTGATATTCCTATAATAAATATTGAAAATAATGAGGCTGTGACACCTGTTATTGTACAGGATGCGGATGCATATTACCAAAAGTTGAACTTTAGTCAGGCCTACTTGTAATTTCATTATTTATGATGGGCTAATATGGAATTAGGGCTTTATAATATGTGGTTAAGGTCCTCACTCCAACCCTAGCCTTCATCTCATATTTTCCCATCGATGTGTGAGAGCAAACAAGAGTAGGGTTTTGGAGCGGAAAATAATAACCACTAAAAAGTCTACTACTTACCTCTATCAATGACGTTAGGTACGCAATTATTATTTTTTTCTTTTATTGATTAGACTTGAGATTTTGGGGTTTAGATTTCATTTGAAATCCCACATTCGCAATATTCACTTTAGGGATATACACCATATATTTGCTCATTCATAACTTTTACTATAAAATCTTATAACTAACGCCACAAAGTGGCATGGCATTTCTAAGAATGTGCCTTTCTTCTAGGTGCACTCCATAGATATTTCTCCATTCACCTGCTTTTGACTTTGTTATTCTTATAAATAAATTTGCAACACAACAATTCCAATATATAGAAAATCCATATATGTTTTTCTTAGAATTGGGAAGGCATTTTATGGTAATTTTTGACAAATTGAATGACAGCTTTGGCAGCATTGAGAGCAGCAAGAGGCCCAAATATATCAATTGAGTTCTGCCTTTGTTGTCCTCCTGCTAAGTCAGATAGTCCTCTGATGACAATCACTGGATACCCATTTGACTTGCTTGTCTGTTAAACCACCAATGTAACCCAATTGTTATATTTGCCCATAAATCAACTTCTTCTTCCTTTCTTTTTAGTGATGTAATTTTTTGAATTATGTTGTTCAGAATATGTCAGATTATCACACTGAAATGGCTAACAATGTCTTAGACAAATTAGTACCAGTGGATTCCTGAAATGCCAACTTAATGATGCTTTGCTTAAACTGACATATTCTGAACTACATATACAATAGGAAGTAGTAAAAATTAAGAAGATTTAGAGAGTGATTAACCAATAAGTAGGAAATTAAGAAGCATTTACCATCACTACAGCTGCACTCTCCATGTCAACCGATGAAACTTGAAAAGTATTGAAGAGGAAGTCCCTGTATGCTGCATTGTCCACAAAAATGTTGGCGGTTGAGCCCCGGAGTCCAACTACTAGTTTGGGCTTTTGAGGAAGGCACACACTTGAGTTCACACATTGTTCTAGTTCCATCCCCTGCAGTAACACAACTTAGGACTTGCAAACTTTAGGAAAAAATAATGGGGGCTTCATATAGGCTGAGCTTGGTTACGGTGAACGCAAAGCAATGGAAAGTGTGAAATTCAAAAAAAATGGAACTTTTTCCATGTTTGTTGAGCATGAGTATGGTGAGAAATGCAAAAAAGTTAAATTTCTTATTTTTCTCATGAGTAACAAACTGTTGTAACTTTCAAAATTTTCATTTTAACCAAATGCACACCAGAGAATGAGGTAGTGTTTGGTAGAATTTTAAAATAATAATTTGAAAATAAAGTTATATTTTGAGTTTGTGAGTTTTGAAATTATGATTTGAAAAGAAAAAAATTATTTGATTATGAGTTTTAAAAAGAGTTTTGAATTTTTGATGTGGCATATAAAATGAGAAAAGTTATTTAGTTACGAGTTGAAAAGAGTTTGCAAAACTTAATTGAAAAACTAATAACTCGTAACCAAATGTACAACTCAAAACTTTATTGAAAATTCTATTCAAAACTCACAACCAAACTTTTTTTAAAATTCAATTCAAAAAAATAATTTGTCATTTTAGTCTAAAAAAATAATTTCTACATTTAAAAAATATCAAAAACAAATATAATTTTTTTTTTTCAAATAGCAGGTGGCGTTTGGCAATTGCGAAAAAAAAAAAAAAGAGTACTGTTCCAGTTAACCGGCCGAACGATCAGGTAGACCAAAAATTAAAAAATTATCTTTTTTGCCCAGCATGTTTTCAAAATGTATTTTGAAATTGATTTGGAATCATGATTTGAAAACTTAAACCAAATATAACATTAGAATGTAAAAGTGAAATTAATTTTAGAAAACTCTACTATACACTGCATTTCCTTGCTTCCGCTGCTTCCACTTCACTTTCTATTATTTTTGCTTTTCATCATACTTTTCGCTCTAATCAAACGGACCTACGTTGCAGAACTCACAAAAAAAATAGTCCTATTCTCACAAGTTGTGCCCACAACACAAATCCTTATCAAAAATTGCACTTCATTATTTCATCCTTACTCATTAAGAAGGGTTTTCTATTCAACCCGCCACCTTCAAAAAGTACTACATAGTGTTCGCAAAGAAAATTCAATTAAGAAGAAAGAATAAATATAGAAATAAAACTATCTAAAAAATTAAAATAATAATTGGTAAGGATGTCTTGCCTCCAAACTAGCAGCAAACTGAAGCCATTTCCGGGTTATCTGGAACCAAAGCAAAGGTTGACTAGTATCAGGCTTCCCTGACTCGGAGAAGAATTCCTCGTAGCTATATCCAATTTGTCCCAAAAGATTAATCCCTTGCATTTTAGGTACATTGTAGCTTCCAATATTTAAGTCAGCAACATCATTAGTTCCCAATGTTCCATTCAGTTTCTGCACAGAATGAAGTCTCATATATGGGTAATCAATCGGTCATTACAAAAAGCTTAATTAAAAAGAAAAACAGTGGGATGATGAAGAAATGTAATGAGCTTCATAGTACCAGCCAATCCCAAATGCCAGTGTGGGCAAATTGTTTTGGGATGGTGACATCTCCGATTGACATGGAATTGTTCACATTGCCGGCTATGCCAAAATGTACAATTCCTGTTATGTCGAACAGATCCAACATTTGTTGTGTTGTTGCAGCTGCATTCATCTGCATGAGACCATTACCCATTTAAGTTGGTGTAGACATTGACATATTTCTAAAATCATCTTCAAGAAGAAAGAATGTTGTTCCGCTGGCCTGTTTGCAAGATGCCTTTTGCCAAGGAATTAAATCCAGCAAGCTATCTTGTATTGGTGTTAGGGTTGTTTGCATTAGGTTTAATCTGTTGTACAACAATGGAGCATATATTTGTTTGAGCAAACTTTCTTGGTCAGTTATTCCTAGCATGAGTTGGTTGAATTCAGGGATACCATGTTTCAGATGACAAGTTGATCATCTATATCTAGTAGGTCTGACCTATCACCTAACAATTAATAGGGAGATTCATAACCATCTTATCATGTGTCCCCCTACTATTGAACGGGCACACAACGTGCTATAGGTCGGACCTACTAGATAATCTCTTACAAAGTTATACTCCATGAGAAGCATCATTGAGTTATGCAAAACTCAAGGAATCCTTGATTCCAACTACATGAATTTTGTTCCCCTTCCCAAATGAACTCTTTTCTACCACACAGCTGCCAAATTTACAAAAATAAGCACATGAAGTTACAGAGTTACATAGGTGAAAAGGATTGATGAGAAACTAATTTCGAATTTTTCACATTGATTTGAATTGGCTGGTAGAGACAATTTTGATTTTCAATGAATTTGATTAATTCATGATAAATACTCTTGTAAACATCCAAAGCGAGCTAGAGACAGAAGTACAGTGTACCATTCCAACCCCACATCTCACATAGATGACCTTCTTCCCATGTAACTTCCCCACCCGGAATCGTCTGCCTGCCAAAAGAAAAAAAAAAAAAAACACCAGTATCCATCAATTATCAACTCGTAACTTGTTTTGACACTTTCTCACACAATTTCGACTTCCAAAAAGGTCCATGGAATTGTTAACTGTATGAATAAACATGTCACGTTCAGTAAATGACTACTAATTAGTTTTCAAAACCAACTCATATTTCTCATTTGCAAACCGTTCAAAAAGCTGCACACCAATTGTGTTTGCATCCGCCACTAGTATATATATATATATATGAGCCCTGCTGGGGAACGCCCAGTGGGGGTTGACCCCCAGCACCCCCACCTCCTCGTGGGGGGCTGTGAGGGCGAGGGCAAGGTCAAAAAAATAAAAATAAATAAAATTCATCCAATCAAAAATCAGTGGGGGGTGGTGGGGGTCACCCCCATTGGGGGTTCAAAGTATTTTTCTATATATATATACCTGTGAGATCCACAAAAGGGTGTATTGGGTCAAGTTTAAAGGCCTTTGTTGCAAAGAATGCTTTTTCTTCAGGTGGGTAGACTGTGATGAGACCAAGATATGGCCCTTTGTGATTGAGGTACTTAATAGTATTCAGACTTTTTCTCCTTTTAAGTGGTGTAGCTGACAAAGGAAAAACTAGTGAGGAGATCAGGAGATTCAAAACTAGTACTCCCATCAAACATGGTATGGCCTGTGCTCTAGCCATGGTTTGGTTGAGCTCAATGAAAAATGCTAATGTATTTGAAGCAGCTTTCGGTCAGAATTGTCGGCTATTAATCTGGACCACATATATTGATTAACAATAAATTTTTTTTTTATCACCCATACACTTTTGCAATAAAATCTTATCTTCTCATTCCACTAGTGGCCAAAGGGCTAGCCAACTAGGCTAGAGTCCCTTGGTTTATTGATTAACAATAATTCTATGAATGATAACTAATTACTCATAATTTATCCCGAATTAGAGTATGTGGTTGAGATTGAATTTGTATAGTGTAAGTTTGTATGTAAAATAAATTTGAATCAGATAATTTTGGTAATTTTTGAGTATTTTTCTTTTTTTGACTTTGTAATATTACTAATTATTTAAATGGGAATTTAGTGACAAGTCAGATCTTGTAGAATTATTTGAGGCAATAAGTTTGAATCAGATAATTCTAGATAATTTCTGAATAATTTTTTTGAGTTTGTAATATTACTATTTTATTAAATGCGAATTTAGTGACAAGCCAGATTTTGTAAAATTATTTGAGGCTGTCTTTCTCAACAGAATCCAATTATACACAGATCAATCAAACAAGATCAATATCAAATATAAAATTTTATAAAAATAAAATATTACTTTTTTTTAACCGCATGAAATTGAGAATTTTCTCAATTTTTTTCAATTTTAAAATTAAGAATTTTCTCAATTTCGCACAATAATATTTCATACAGTTGTTTCGCCAAAAAATTATTATTAATTTTTATCTAATTTTTTTATATTTTTATTCAATATTTTATATATTTATTTGGTCTTGTTTGATTTTTTTTATTGATTCTAAAAACATAAATTTTGTAATAAAAAAAATGAAAATAATGTTATTTTAAAATTTAAAATATAAAAACAAAATTTTTGTCATATGCATGAGCGTGTCCGCACAAGTCGCACGAACTCCTTTCTCTTTTTAATTAATTAAGGACAAAATTATCTACCAATAAAAACAGTTAGAAAAAAAAAAAAAAACCACTCAGCTTCCTTGGTTTCATTTTTTCAAAAATATTTTCAGAAAATTCTACTTTCTTATTTTTTGTTTTTTTTTACTGAATTTTTTTTAATATTTTAAATAATTTTTTTACTTTTTAGACACACCTAACATAAATACACTTAAAAAGTAAAAAAATTGTAAAAAAAATCTTTTAAAAATTCACTAAATATCAAAAATATAAAAAAATAAATACAAAAATTCAATACATTTTTTGTATTTCTATGTATTTATTAATTTTTTAAAATATTTTTTTCATAATTTTTTTACTTTTTGATACATCTAAGTAATGTGCATCTAAAAAAGTAAAAAAAAAATGTTTAAAACTTTAAAAATATTCACTAAAAACAAAAAAATACGAAACTAAAAAACTCAATTTTCAAAAAACTTAATCTAAAAAACTCAAACTAAACACACTGACTAGTACTTACCTTAGACTTATAGAGCTAATTATTCCTTTATTAAGGCTTCATTTGAGAATTTGCTATTTTAATAATTTTTTAACCTTTTACAAAAAAGATATGCAGAAAAACGGAGAGAGTGATGTGACAATTTATAGTGACTTTTTGGCTAAAATAGTTACTCCCCAAACAAGGCTTAAGGCGTTGTTTGGGAATATCATTTTTTAGCTTAAAAATCAAAAAATTAACAAACTATATAAAAAAAAAGTCAAAGATTTCATTTTCTCTCTACTTTTTATACATCTTTTCGTAAAAAAAACTAAAAAATTATTCCAAACATATTAAATATTTTATCTCATATTTTAGTTAAAAAATAAAAAAAATTACTAAAATAACATATTCCCAAACGAGGCTTGAATGATTGTTGATTAAGATAAGAATATTGGTATATATACCTATTGGTATATTAATTAGCATACTAATAGATGATATTGTATAATTTAAAATATTTTGGATATTTGTAATTTATATAATAAGTGAGATCAATAATAATATCATAATATATGTTAGTACATTAATTAATATATCAATTAATACATATAATACTACCGTTAAAATAATTGATAGAAAATGGGATTCTTTTTAAGTTAATTTATTTATTTAAAATTTGGAGTCCTTGGAAGATGGAAGCGACAGTGTTGTCATTAGCGTTTAGATGTGTTTGTCAAAATGGGATTCTTTCCAAGTTTGAATTTATTTATTTAAAATTTGGAGTATTTCGGAAGATGGAAGTGACAGTGTTGTCATTAGTGCTTAGATGTGTATGTCAAATTAGGAAGTTATTGGTGCTCCTCCGGCATTGTCACCTAGTGCCTAACTTGAATGTGATTATTTAAACAGTGAGTTCATCAATTTTGTGTTGATATTTTGTAAAAAGTACAGTTATATCAATTGGTGATTGGTGTAAAGTAATACTCCAAAAGAAGGTAATATTTTTTTTGTCAAAATTAACACATGAATTATGTGAGCCATCAAATACTTTTTTGAAGTAATGTAGGAAAAAAAATAAAAAATAACAAAGTGGGAATTATATTTACTTATTAATAATGTTTATCGAAGTTGTAGGATTAAGGGGTTGTTTGGGATGACCTAAATAAGTGTACTTTTTGTTTTTTTATGAAAAGATGTGCAGAAAAGTAGAGAGGTGATGTGATGAAAAAAATATAAAAAGATAAAAAATAGATTATTTGAGGTATGCCAAACTTGGCCTAAATAAGCCTGCTTGGCATCCATGAGAAGGAAATTAGCTTTTTGAACTTGAAAAGTCGAATGAAAAAATAAAAGAGAAAACCAAAAGTGCAATGCTAAATTACACAAAGTAAACACAGTACGTGACACAAATGTGTCGCAGGGAATGGGGTCTACACAAATGTGTCACAGGCAATGGAGTCTACGTAACTGGGATTCACATGTGAAACTCACAATTTGTGAGACATTTGTATCTCATTTGGTGTTTGGTCTTTTGTATATTTGGATTTATTGAAAAATAAAATGAGGTAAAACAAGTTTTTTCTCTTTTTTGGATTGGGTTAGGAAAATTAGAAAAGATAAACGTTTATTTGTGTAAGGATAAATTACACTTTGCACCCCTACACTTTTGATCAAATCCCATTTTTGATCTCTACACAAACGTCAATGTCTCCATTTTGGTACTCTATTGTTTAAATTTTTAACAGAATCTAGTCATGTGAAAAGAATGTGATTGCAAAATGAGCGTAAAAGAGAAAAATCATTCACATTTTTCATTAATACACATTTTATTCCAAATTTTACATCAAATTATGACTGTATTAGACTAAAACAAAACCAAAATTATAAACAATTAAAAAAATGAATTCGGGTTTTGGCATAAATTAGAATTACAAAACTCTATTTTTCACAATAACACAGTCTTCTGTCTATTCTTTTTCATTTCTCTTCGATTTCTCTACTGTCTTTTTTGATTTCAAAAGCTTTATTTTCTTGTAGTTATCCCATACGACAAAGTGTGTATTAGTTAGAAATATGGATGATTTTCTTATCTTACCCTCATTTCATCACATTCTTATCACATTACTAGATTCTGTTAAAGATTTAAACTATGTAGTAACAAAAGTGAGACATTAACACTTTTGTAGGGATCAAAGTATGATTTGACCAAAAGAGCAGGGGGGTGACTGTCACAATTTCACATGTATGGACCAAAGTGGGGTTTGATCAAAAGTACGAGGGGTTGATTGTCATGATTTCATGGATGATCAAAATGAAATTTGATACAAAATGCAAGGGTACAAAATTTAATTTATCCCAAAAATAATATACAAGTAATTTTTTTTTTTAGACAAATCTAAAATTCAAACCCAATATTAAACTTTGAACTAAACTTTCATTTTGTACTCCTTTTAATAGCTACAATGCCTTGATTTAGAATGAACTCATTTTTAAGAAATGGAACCATTAAAACTAGAGCACTTTGTTAAAAAATTCAAATTCGAATTTCTTTTGATCAAAGGTCCAGGAATGACGGTTCCAAAAAAAAAAAAAAAAAAATGTTCAAGAATGAAATTATTATGTCTATAAAGACATAGCTCTACATAGTGACCAAACTATCCTTATATATATGAAATCCACGGTGGAACCCGAACAACACAAACCCCCATTTCTCTCTCTCTAAAATAGCTTCTTCTCTTCTCTAA